TTTATATGCCTTGCAATTGCTGTGTCTCTCTTTCTGTGACTATAACGTGTGACCATTCTGCCACTATTTTTAGATCCTCTGCAGTTGCCAAGCATGTGGTCGCAGTGAGCATTAATCTTGTGGTATAGCGAATTCATTTTGTCTGCACTCTCATATTCTTCAGACTTTGGGATAGTTGAAGTTCTATGATATTTCAAAATTCATTTTCGCTGCTCCCTTGTTATTGTTTTCTATTCATGGCTTTTCATTCTTCTTTTCATCTTTCAAAGATCCCTTTTTTTTGGTATTTAACCACTCTGGCTACTTGTATACTCCAACTGTCTTTTACTATTGCAGTTTGGGGAAAAGTTTGGCATCGATCCTATTAATGCTTTTGCATTCTGGGACTGGGTTGGTGGCAGATTTAGTGGTGGGTTTTCTCTCATTTTGTGGACAGAATCATGGAGAACTTCATGCAGAATCCTAATTGTGTTGTTGCTTGCAGTTTGCAGTGTTGTTGGTGTGTTGCCTTTGTCTCTCCAATATGGTTTCTCAATTGCTGGGAAGTATGGTAACTTCTGATCGTTTTAATTCAAAAAGTTAGGTTTCTCTTGCACCGTTATTATTTTAGAGGCTGCAAGAAACAATGTCAAAAGTGGCAAGAGTTCTCAATCTCTAGCATAGAAAGATGTATAACATACAATTAATCACTTTTTTGCCATGAAGTTTTCAAAGAGTTTTGCTTCGTTGATTCCCTCGATATCTACTTTAGTTTCCTATTCATCCCCTTGTTACTTGCATATAATGTGTTTGCTATTTTGTTAGGATTTGTTTTATAGTGATAACAACTTTTATTTTTCTACTTGAAGGTTCTTGAAAGGAGCACAAAGCATTGATCAGCATTCATATTCTGCACCATTTGAAAAAAATCTACCTGTAAGTGCTCCAATACCATGAACTTTTATCAGATCTATATTCTGCTTGTCCTAAAATGATTCTTTATCAATGGTGTTGAATCATATTTAACATGTGATTATCCATTTTGTATGGTGTTTAATACATTGTTTGAGGTCCTCTTGGTTATTGAGGAAGTTAGTATGGTGATCTATCATTTTCCTTTTGATTATTCATTTGAGGCATAATCTGTGTGGCATGAGTTCTTGATGTGCTTTATGAGATTCCAGTTAATGTTGATAACATTTTGACCTTCTCCTTTAGGCACTTTTAGGTCTGTTAAGTGTGTGAAATATTTTATTTTTTGGATATATTGCAGGGGTGACTACTTCTTCCCAAGATCTATTTGAGTTGCGACGAATTTTTAGAATTCTTAATAACTGTAGCTTTACGAGTCTACTACTCCTTTAGATCATCTTACCTGATTCTAAAGCCGTGAAGAAATTTGCACCTCACATTTAATAAGCAAGCCTACTTGAACTTTAACTCTCTTTTCCTTGGTATTAAATATGTAAAAAAGAGAGAGAGAGAGAATGTGCCTTTTAAAGTTTCCAATGCCCGTTTATTTTACTTAAATCTAGGTCAGCACGAAAGTAATGGCCTGGAAAAATTGAATTTGGCGAACCAGGAGCAAATGGCCGTCATAGCTTTTATCAACTAATTCACCAGGTAATTTCTTGTTCCATTATGCATTTGGTTGAAGTGAAATTAGGTCATTGTATACCTATTTTGATTTTTAAAAATCAATTCTGGAATTGAAATGATTACTTGTTCCTAAAATTTATATATATAATTTTAAAATATATGTATACTTCGTTTGAATGGGATAAGTAGCTTCAGGATATATTTATTTCATTTCTTGATGTCTTTATTCAAAATTTGTCCTTGTTTTCCCGCACATACCCTGTCTTGGTAAACCTGATAATTTTGATACTCATGATGCACATAACATGTCTTTTTTTCATGGAGCAAGAAGTTTACTTCTGCATTTTGGATGGTTTCTAATTGAATAGTAGCATATTCGCCTCCAATGTGCATGCCATTAGCTTGAATAGTAGCATTTCTAATTGAACGGTTAGTATTAATAAATAACATCATTATCATGATCATCAAAATTACTATTGTTATTAATAGTATTATTATTATCGTATTCACTATTGCTATCTATTATTATTAGTATTATTATTATTAATAATATTGCTATTATTTAATTATTACTATCATAACTACTACTATTACTATCACCACTATTATTATTATTATTATTATCATCATCATCGTCGTCGTCATTATTATCATTATAACCATTATTATTATTATTGAAAAAATAAAAATCTTGGGATCAGTCAAGAAAAGTACGTGGACTTGGCAGTTAGCCAAGTATAGAGTAACGTATGTTTGCCAGACCCAAGATGTCTTTACTAAGCTGCTTCCAATTGCTTCTTTTACTACTTTTCAGTTGAAGTTTCGGGTCGATCCCCTCCTCAGCTTGAGGGGGCATATTATTGGATGTGTGTGTGTATAAGAAATATTATAGAACTACTCTATTGTTGTAATTTTTATATTAACTATTATATAGAACTACTCTATTGTTGTAATTTTTATATTAACTATTATATAGAACTACTCTATTGTTGTAATAAAGAAGGTTTGCAAACTAATAGGTTAAGTCTCCTATTACTCTTCAACTATCTATGTTTAGAGACATTTTTTGTATATACTCCTAGGCTATTTTATAATTATCAAGTTGTTTTAAGGGCAATCATGTGATTCAATATAATAAATATTGTTAAAAAAAATTATTGGTGCATGTATTTCACACATCGATATATAAGGGGTTATCCAGTGGTCAAATGTCATCTTCCATAATAGATTTTGAATCGTTATGATATCTCCTTGTAAAGATCACTTGTGGCTAAACGTCGATGATTTTGTCACCAGTGTCATTTTTTCTTTTTGTTTTCCCTTCCTTATCTTTTTCTCAACTCCTATCCCTATATCCCTTTAAAATCTCAAAAAAGCCCTTTAATTTTTAATCTCTTTAGATGTAGCCCCTTTTTTTTAATTATTTATCTTATTTGTTATAATTTATAAAACTTGATTTTTGTTTCACTTTCATCCCTCTTCAATTTTATTTTTTTTGTATTTCAAATTTGTTTATTTTACTCAAATCTAGGTCTGGATGGAAAGTAATAGCAATGGAGCATCTATTGATGGTGCATTATTTCCTTTGAGACTAGAGAAATTGAATTTGACAAACCAGGAGCAAATGGTCGGCATAGCTTTTATCAAATAATTCACCAGGTAATTTCTTGTTTCATTATACATTTGATTGAAGCAAAATTTGGTCTTTGTATATGTATTTTGATTTTTAAAAATTAATTTTGGAATTCAAATGATTCCCTAACTCTTTAAATTCATTTTTTAAAGAAATCCATGCATAGTTTGTCTAAGCGGGATAAGGATACATTTATTCACTTCTTAATGTTTTTATTCAAAATTTGCCTTTATTTTCTCTCACATACCCTGTTTTGATAAACCTGATAATTTTGATACTCATTATGCACATGCAAGTTGATAACATGTTTTTTTTATAGAGCAAGAAGTTTAGTTCTGCATTTTGGATGGTTTCTAATTGATCAGTAGCATATTCTTCTAATATGCATGTCATTAGCTTCAGCCTTGGTGTTCACGCTTCACCGTGAGGCCCATCTATTTTTTTTGGTAGAAAATATAATGTTTAGGTATTGAAATGGAGTTAGAAAAATAGCATAAAAAATTATTCATGATAAATGTGTACCAAAGCTAGTTAAGATTAAACCAACATGAGATATTTGCAAAACCTATGATTTAAATTATGTGACCGAAATAACTTAATAAAAACTTAAAAAGTTATTAGACTTAAAACACTCAATCTAGAAAAAACCATGAAATTTAATTTTTATTAAATTAAATATTAAATGATAAAAAATAAATAAAAAGTATCTTAATCATACAAAATAATTGAAAAATAGTAATTTAAAAAATAAGAATCAAAATTATCATTAATACTATTATTAATAAGTAATATCATCACTATTACTACTACTATTATCATCATTATTATTTATTTATTTTGTTGTTGTTGTTATTATTATCGCTATCACTATTGTTATTATTATTACTAGTAGTATTATAAGTATCATTATTATTAATAATATTGTTAATGTTATTACCACAATTATTACTATAATAACTGTTGTTGTTGTTATTATTATTATTAATACTACCAATTAATAAATTCTTAGAAAATAAAGTTCTATTAATTTATGTATGATTAAATTATAAAAGTTCTACCTTATTATTATAAATAAATTCTTAGAAAAAAAGTTCTTCATAATTTATGTATTATAGTGAAAAAAATATATTTCTAATTAGAATTTAGGTTAACTATTAGAATTTCTTGGTCAGCTCCCAACATTTCAAATACTAACCTCATTTATAGGTTCAACATTATATATTATAATTTTTAACAATTAATTTTCATGAATTAAAAAAAGGATGGTTTATTGAAATATTGATCAAATTCTTATAATTTTAATAAATTGATTATTAGATCTTAAAATGCATGCCAAAACACATTTTTTTTCTTTTCGTATGAAAATACTAAATGATATGATTTTTTTTTATATAATTTTTTGAGAAACTTGGTTGTATGCAATATACAAAAAACATAATTTATTTGTAGTTTTTCTTGAAAATATATAAAAAGAATCTAAGAGGTTTAAAATGAATTTTTCCTAAAAAAACACATCCTAAAAAAAACTAACAAAAGCAAAATTTGATTTTATGTTTTTTTATTTTATTATTTTGGTCGGGTTAACCCGAACAGGTTGACCCAGTAGGGCAGACTCGACTGAGTTGAAACAGTCGAGTTGACCTTGTTGGTGTTGACGCAATTGAGTAAACTCAAAAACAAAACAGACCAAAAGTGGAAAAAACACAAACTCCAAAAAGTCTTAATAAAAAATGGATCAAAACAGATGAAATTTATTTGTCTCCTCACAAAACATAGTTATCAATCCAGAGCAGATTTTAAACAAAGGAGGGGATGTTTCTATTTGTAACCTTCCTTAAATTAAGAATCAATGGTTCATTTCTTTTAATGATTAACAAAATAACATGATTTATAAAAAAAAAAAGGTTTTGGTTCGAAACAAAAACCTTAGGATTTAAATGTATTAAACCTTGTTATTGTTGCAAAAAACTCCTAGATTACTTATCAAAGATGATGGGCGGGCCTATCTAAACCAGAAACTAAACCAATCAAGCCCTAAAACTATTATATAAGATTTAATGGACAAAGTTGCCTTAACCTTATAAAGAGGTTGCCTAGAAACCATAGATATGAAATGCACTAAAAAATGCTTATTTTGGCCTCTAAAATGTGTCTGTATCCTTACATACCACACTATTGGTAAGTAACTTGATTATAGCTAAATAAACAACATAAAAACTAAAAAAAAAAACATTGACTTTTTACATGACCAAAAGATTAATGTCTTCTCCTAAGTGTAAAAGTGTCGAAGTAATAAATAACCTAGCAAGACCGGGGTTGAACCACAGGAAGGTAAACTATAATAATAATAATAATAATAATAATAAGTTAAAGAGAACTTTGAGATGTAAGATTAATGTGATAATTAAACTATGATAAAAACAAATGTCAAGGTTAAAGATTTTACTAATGACATTTTAAACAAGTATATTATTACTCAACTGGAAACCACATACAAAGGAGTTTGCAATTGGATTATAAATTTTTAACATGATTACATTAGTTATCTTATTCAAATAATGTTAATACTTGTAAATGTTGTCAAATATTCATGATTATAACTTATGTTAACAACAAATCAAGTTCTTTTATAGCACAGGTGTAGGTTATACCATACAGTTATGCTATAAAAATATAAAGTATTTGTTGTATTAAGTGGTATACAACATAAATTTTTAACTTATGTTGAGATAACAAGCAATGTATTAAAAGTGAACAAGATAACAAATACAAAACATGTTAGTATCAAACATTAAGGTTCATGTTGAGTTTATACTATACTTATTCTTACACCATTAGTGTAACCTTTTCACCTTAATATAATAAACTTAACTAAATATAATGAAAGAGAGAAACATAAATAAATAATATAAGAACATAAGTAAGATATAAGTTAACTAAGTAAAGGAAATAAAATGAAAAGCATAAACAAGAGATTAATAAAAGCAAAATTTAAGCATTACAAAAATATAAAAAAGGAGAGTAAGAATATGATTTTGATCTGAAAACTATGATGTCTAAATGTATGGAAATGTCTTCTTTTATAGACTAAAATTTAAAATTATTGATTTGTTGACTAATTGTTGAGTGGATGGCTTGACTTGGTGACAATCCTTCTTGTTTGCCAAAAACTCATTGCAAACATCAAAATTTAAACAGATTGTCGTCATGAAAGTTCTAGGAAATTGTCTCAACTTTCTAACAAAAAACATTCGGTGTATTTGGACTTCTAGAACTCGAGATATGAGTTGAACACTGAATAGTATCTAGGCTACAAGACAGATTCAGACTTCTCCGTTGTTGCTATAATTTGAACTTGAAAATAACCTTTTTGAAATTGTATTCTTCATGAAAGTTTTAGGTCTATGTTTTAGCTTTTCATCCATATAAAACATACCTTATTCCAAGTTCTACATCTTCATTTATGATCCAATAACCGAATGGTATTTCAATTTGGATTGAATCAACATCTCTTTTCTAAACTCAGCCCTTTCTTTGTCTTTTTAATTTTAGTAGTTAAACATATCAATCAATCCCTTGATTTATGTGATAGATCTGTATTTAAGATGAACATTTACTATAAATTAAAGGTATCTCATATTATTGAATATGTTATTATAAAACATGCTCTAGTTAAGAAGTTATTGATACTCAAAGTGCAAAATAATAATATAGAACCTTGATAAAAATACAGTTTTAAGTACTAATCACACCCCCTAACCAACTTATTACCAGTCCCTAGTAATCAAAGCGTTAAAATAAATTTTGTTTTTGCAAGTTTCACAAAGCAAGTCATTCATCATTTAACTTCCATTAATCTATTCAAATAAATGAACTCATTAAATTTATATATTAGTTTTATACTTTTTAAATAAGATATTAATAAACCTTTTTTTGTACTTAATATCAACGTATAGTTATGGAATTTTACTTGAAAGAAAATAAAATTTGTTCTAATGTTTAAGGTTAATTTTCTTAAGTTGAGATTATTATTATTATTATTATTATTTAATATATATCTACACACACACACATACATATATACATATAGATAACTTAAAACATAGTGCATCTTTAATCCATGTAACAAGCTTTAGGCTAATGACTCTTAGACTAATTAGTCTTAGGGCATTAGGTCTTGAGACACCTTTACAAGCATAGTAACTCGAGTTGTATATACTGATATGTAGATAGTGCAATGTTTGATTCTCTTAAGCTTTTTTCCTTAACCTATTAATAAGCACTAAACCAATAGCTCCTAAGTCAATTGACTTTAGAGTATTAAGTATTAAAACACCAAATCAGGCTTAATTGGTTAGAGAGACTACAAAACCATACTTATCTAATGTATCATTAATATTATCAATTTGTATATGAGCACAATCAATTGATAATAATATGAGAGTTTGTAAACCTGAATATTTTAAGAAGTATTGTGATAGACTTTGTTAAGAATGTTTACTGAGATCCGTCTCAAGAGTCATTTTAATAAAAAAAACTCATTTATTTTGTCATCCTATTAACAATAGTTTTTTCAAATGGTTTTATTAAAAATAAAAGTAGTTAGTTTTTTTTGTTAACTATTACCCTCTCCCCTTAACCAAAAGGGGACATTTTTCTTATTGTTTTAAGGTAGAAAGATAGAGTATAGAAGACATCACCTGAAACACTTAAACAAAATAATATTCTATTAATAAAAAAAGACACAAGGTTTCACAAACAAAGGCTTAAATCCAATCTAAGCTTTTTATGACTTTTTTTAATTGACTAATTTATGCGACTGATGGAGAGACCAATTACATGGATGAAAAGTCATAGTTGGTCAATCAATTGTTCAGCAATAGTAGTAGAGATTATGATTTGTCGTGTCAAAGATGTTAGAAATTCTTGTTCCACAGCTTGATAAAAAAAAAACAATAAATTATTATAAAAACCATTAACATTTAACAAACCTATAGGTTTATGGTGAATGTGCAGTTGGACCCAA